AAGACAACGAAGAAGAAGGAGATGGAGAAGGAGAAGAAGTAGAAGGAGAAGGAGAAGGAGAAGGAGAAGGAGAAGGAGTAGAAGAGGAAGAAGAAGAAGAAGAGGTAGAAGGGAAGAAGAGCAAAAACCCAGACAGGAGAAAATAACCTTAGGCCAGAGCTGGAGAGGAAATGAGAGATCAAGTAGGAGGCCCAAGGTTGAGGCAAGTAGCAAATTTTCTTCGTTCCAGTCAGCCATTGGTAGGAGTTTGTCTGTTGGTGAAAGAAGGAAGTCAGACTAGCAGGGGTGGGCAAACCTTTTGACTCGAGGGCCACAATGGGTTCTTAAACTGGACCGGAGGGCCAGAACAAAAACATGGATGGAGTGTTTGTGTGAACTAATATAAATTCAAAGTAAACATCATTACATAAAAGGGTACGTTTTTTTTTTTTTTTTTTTAGTGTTATTCATTTCAAACGGGCCGGATCCGGCCCGCGGGCCGTAGTTTGCCCACGGCTGGGCTAGAGATACTGAACGATAGGTTTGCTGGGAACTAAGCAAAAAAAGAAACATCTACAAATGACACACTGCTTTTGCAACTTGCAACGTTAGCCTTTTCTCCTGCAGTGACAGTCCTGATGGGGAGACATCTGTCAGGGGCCCAGGTGGTGACATTCTCAAAGATGGACCTGGATTCTAAGGATCCCAGTGCTTCCCGCCTGAGCATTCCTGTCTGAAGGCAGTTTACTCTTCTGGGAAATGATGGGGGAGCATGGGGGCCGTGTTTCAGGAAAATACATGTTTAAACTGGTCATAACATTTTTCACTCCCTCTGGGAACTGGTTTATTTTCCACTTCCCTTCCAACTTTCCTTGTTTTTATTTATTTATTTATTTATTTTTTACTGAAAGCATCTGACCATCTACCACCCACACTGGTCCAGTAACATATCTGGTTCCAAATCATTCTGACCTCATCGTTTGTTAGCCAATCCTAAGCGCAATAACACAGTTGATGTTAGCTGGATGAGTCACCAACTCATGGCTGGGAGAGTAAAAATGTCACAATAATTTCCCCGCATGCATGGTCCAAAGATAATTTCATCAACACGGAGTTCATAGACCGGGGGCTGTTACTTTATGTCTACTTCATTGGATTAACTCAGGCGAGTCAAGATCTCTAGTCAATCGCTGTTTGAATGTAACTTCTGCAGTACTGTAGTCCAGGGAAATGTTTTATTTTATTTTTATTATTACTATTTTCAATTCTCGCCTGAGGATATGTTTTCTTATTGACTTTAAAGAGAGAGGAAGGGAGAGAAACATTAATGTGTGAGAAACATCACTCAGTTGCCTCCCATACGTTCCCCAACAGAGGATCAAACTTGCTATTTAGGTATGCCCACTGACCAGGAATCAAACCCACAACCTTTTGGTGTATGGGGAGATGCTCCAATCAACTGAGCTACCTGGCTAGGGCCGGGCAGTTGTTTTAAATCCTTTGTCTTTTGTAAATTACTGTCAACACACACACACACACACACACACACACACACACACACACACAAGACTAT